GACGACGACCTAAAGGAGGATGACGAAGTCCTAGATTTGCTATCATAAAGAGTTGAATTGTTCCTGTATCATGAGAATATTCTAAGGCTCGTTGAGTGGAGAGACACACTAGAGTGGGAACCCCTTGAGAGGGAGTGAGTGTTGGAATGGTTGGAGATGTTCTTTAGAGGAACCATCATTGGATCATAGATAGTTGAAGGAGGGAAATCAGAGGCTTTTCATGTTGTTTCCTACATACAAAACCAATATGATACCAAGGGTGTTCAAATTCGGTTCTTAAACTGAAAACCAAACCGAATAAATCAATTTGGTTTAGTTATTTTGTTTTCGGATCGGTTCAGTTTGAGAAAAAATTCAACCAAACCGAACCAAAAACTGAATTTACCAAAATAAATATATATGTATTTATGTTTTAATTATAAATGTTGATATATTTTAATAATAATTATTATTAATATAAATATAAAATAGAATTATATTTTTGCTAACCAAGCTAACCGAATTGATTTTGGTTATTAAAATGACCTAACCAAAATGTCGATTAGGTTCTTTTTCCAAACCGAACCGAACCAATCAAATGAACACCCCTATCTGATGCTATCTAAGTCGAGGTGGACAAGCAATAGATGAAGTCCTAACGAGTCTGAGTTGAGGTGGATGAAGTACGTTAGACAGGGTGTGTTGGAAAAGGTGATGAATTCATTGACATGCAAAAGCCAAAGTTAGAGGTCCCAAGGTGATTTCCCATAGAGGAGTACTTTGACGCTCAAGTTAGTAAAGAGGAAGAGGTGGACTAGGCCGTGCTACCAAGTAGGGCTGTTCATAAGAAGGCAACCCGACCAAACCGGCCAACCCGGACCGACCCAACCAGAGTCGGACAGGTTTTCATCAGCACCGGTCGGTTTCGGGTTGGGCAAATTTATAAATCGAAATATCGGGTCGGTTTCGGTTTTCTTGTGTAAAAACCGAAGCCGACCCGAAACCGAACCGAACTAGTGGTAGTTCCTAGTTTCCTACTTAACTAATCTTCTACTAGAATTAGAACAACCCTATCTTCTAGTTCCTACTTAACTAAATTGTATTTATCCTAATTTCTATAGTCTTTTACACCAAATAGGTAACCCATTAGTCAATTACAATTAGAATTAGGTGTCATCTTTTACCTAGATTAGAATTTAGAAAGTTTCTTTAAATATAAATATTTCAGCCTTCTTTCTATAAAACAGTTCGACTTTCTATTTTATTGTTTTATTGAATATTGATAACTTTTGTCTTTTGTCTTCTAACTTTTGTCTTATTGAATATTGAATATTGATAACTTTTGTTTTCTATAAAATAGTTTTGTCTTTTGTCTTATTGAATACAAAAGCTTTTTGAGTGGAATAAGGGTTAGTAAGGTTGACACTGGACCAAAGGTGAGACAAGTTTCAAAAATAAGGTTTGATTACAGGAGCAAAACCGAAACCGACTCAAACCGACCAGGTCGGTTTTGCTTATCAGTGGGTCGGTTTCAGTTTCCACCTCAGGTAACCCGATCAGGTCGGGTCGGTTGGGAAAACTCTAATAAACTGACCCAACCCGACCCGTACCCGTGTACAACCCTACTACCAAGGGCCAACTGATGATAGCCAAGTAGAGTTGAAGAGCAAGGGTTAGAGAGCTATAGAGCAAGAATGCCAAAAGTGAAGAGTGAAGAAGAAGTTTACCTGGGATGGTAATCCCTTTTATGCTTAAGAGAAATGCTATGGTGCTCCTCACATTTTGGGGCACATGGTGTGCAATGAGGTAGTCGTCGTTTGATATCTTAGGGCGGCTCCGCATTGCTCTCTTCAAGAGGACACTAGAAGCCCATCATTCACAACGTGCTCTCCCTCAGCTCAAGGTCTTTAGTGCGTGTAACGGTTGGAGCCATCTAGATCGAACCCATGGTTAGATCCTTAGCCACGTTAGCCTTCCATGTGGCAGTTCAACCCTACCGGGCTATGGCCCCATCTGGTACTATGTCAATTTCAAAACATGGTTTCACTCTCAAGTTTTTGAAGGATTTTAGTGATTTCAAATTCTGAAATGGAAAATATAGAAATCAACCATGCCATTGAGTTGAATACCCCATTAGTAAGGAGCGATAGGGAGAGAGTTGATGCAATAAATGTTGCCATATGTTAAAAAAATGACAAATTTTATATTCAGAATTAAAACTTTTAATGGCCAATAATAATTGATAAAATCACCCAAAAAATGAAATTAAAAAATGGAGCATATTCTTTGATATAGAATTTAGGATTGGACATATGGTCAATCTAGTGGCTCACCTATTGATTGGACAACCTACTTGGCCACAAGATGCCTCTTTGTTATATGAAAATTTGAATGGTTGAATTTATTATTAATTAATTGATAAATTAATAATCAATTTTTTTTGTTAATTAATTAAAAGTATTCAAAGTTATTAATAACATTTAAAATTTTAATAATTGTATTTTTATTTAATGTTGATTTACAAAAAATAATTATTGTTAATTTATTATCAACAAATATTTTTTAATAAATTTAATTTTATTAATCATTTGTAGTAATTTTAATAACTATAATCATTTATAGTAATAATTTGTTAATTTCATTATTTTTAAATGAAAATTTGATTGAATTTAAATAAATAAAAATAATTACAAAAGCTAACATTTTTATTAGTTTCACTAATAATTAACAATTATATAGGAATGGCAAGGGGGTAGGGCACCCCATCCCTATCCCCACCCTGTAGTCAAGATATTCTACCCCATCCCCACCTCGTCCCTAGTGTTAGGTGGGTTTAGGGCAAGGCACCCACTCCCCATTTAGAACGGAGAATCCTTGAATTTCTCCGCCTCATCCTCAATGTCGTATGAGTTCAAGGCAAGGCACACACTCCTCATCCAGGATTGGGAATCCTCAAATTTTCCCTGCCCTATCTCTAGTGTCGAGTGGGATCAAGGCAAGTCGCCCACTCCCCGTCCAAGGTTTTTAAAAACTGTTGTTCGGTTTGACGGATCGATCGCCCAAGTTAGTAGTTCGCCAACCAAGTCAACTATTTTTGGCCAAAAAACAGTTTTGGGTGAAATAGAATCGGTCAAGTTATTTTATAATTTCTTTATAATATTAAATAATTTTTAAATTTATTAATTCAAATTTTATTTGGATGGATATAGATAAAAAGTGGGGAGAGAGGATAAATAGGAATTAAAGACAGTTTAGAAGAAAGTGGGGGATAATGTTGCCACTTGGCAAGGTAGGGAGAAGATAAATAGGAACTAGAGATAATTAAGGAGAAAGCGGGGGATAGTGGTGCCACTTGGCTAGACATTAGAAAATCAAATATCTTTTTCTTTATCTAGTGGTTATTAGAGATAATTTAGCCTATATTGTTTACAATTATATGGAATTAAAAAAATAAAAAATAAAAAAAATATAAAATTAGAATGGGGGCTTTCTTGCAAGGAGAGGGCTGTTGACATGGGCGAACCAATTTTAATATATATATATATATTCAAATTGCAAAGTCTGCTTAAAGGAGTAAAGGTCTAAAAATTAGGAGATATTAAGCCTTAATTAGGGGCCGTTTGGCTGGTTTTTCTTGATCTTAAATAGAAATGGGGAAAATATTTTTGTCCCGAATCAGGGACAGAGTTTGTTTATAATTCCCCGAACCTTCCCTGAACCTAATGGTAAATTAGTAAAATATTCCTAAGTTTAATATTACTTTTTAAAATATTTTTAAGTTTTCTTCAAATTTCTAAAATCCTAAGACCTCATAATTCCATTTCTAAAATACCTCTAATTCATCATAAGATGGGGCCGGGATGGGGTAGAGAGTAGACCTGTTCACTGGGCTTTCACCTGGTGTCAATGTAAAATCTTCAGGCTTGAACTTGAGCCCGGCCCGACCATCGGGCCTAGATCTTAGGCCCGAGCCCAACCCTCAAAAAAGCCCGAGGCCCGAGCCCAAAGCCCGAATGAGCATCAAATAAAATGAACAAGCAAAATGACTTCAGTACACCACACTCCAAAACGTGTTTATTCACTGATGAAACCACAGAAAATAAAAGATCACTCCTCCTAAGTCTTCACAAAGAAATGAACATGTACAAAGAAACCACAAAATTCAGATATAAAATGATCAAACAATCAAAATGACTTCAGTACATCACACTCCGTCTGTAACATGTAAGAAAATAAAATAAATTGAGCAAACAAAGTGATTATCAACCCAAACTAGAAACCTCTGGCTATATTTGTTTTTGTTGCTTCGATAGTGATCTGATAGACTGATGTAGATTGAAACCTACTAATTTTCACCTTTTACAGGAAGCAGTGGGAGAGAACAGAAACGAAGCCTATTCAATCAAGGCTTTACCATTAGTTTGGGGTGCAGTCACTCACCGTCGATCCTGGTTGCCTGATACCGGTAATGGAGGATATGAGAGCTGGGGTTTGCTCCGGTCGCCGCTGTTAAGGAATGAGGAGGGGACTCAGGGGTTTGCTCTGGTCACCGCTGCTGTGGTTTGCTTCGGTAGATGCTTGCCAACTGCGTAGAAGGGTTGAGGAATGAGGAGGGTACTAAGGGATTTGCTCCGGTAGATGCTCGCCGGCTGCGAAGAAGGGTAGAATAATGAGGGGACTCAGGGGAGCCATTGAAAGGTTGGGGGGAGGAAGAGTATCGATTGGAAATTTGGAATTTGGGTTAGATTTACAAAATAAAAATAAAAATATTAATATTATATATTGTTGGGTCGGGCTGGGTTTGGTCCGGGCTTTCATGTAAAATTCTGAGTCCGACCCGAGATTAGGTCGGGCTTAGAACATTGGGCCTGAGCCCGGGCTCGTGGGCCTAATATATGTCGAAGTCCATCCGGGTCCGGTCCGGTCTGTCGGGCTACCCGGCCATGACCAGGTGTAGTAGAGAGTATATCTTAGTTTGGGGGCGGGGATGGGGAGGAAGCATTGCCCCGCCCCGAATCCGCTCCGTTGCCATTCCCATCTCCAGGTCTTTTTTGAGCATGGATCGTTTGAGAAAGGGTATTCGAAAAACCCTCGTTTCCACTCTGGGTTTTGGCTAACGAATCCGCACCAGGTATGGAGTCCTCCGACCTCTTCTTTCTTCTTCTTCTTTTTTTCTTCCTTCAGTTTTCTCATTCTTTCTTCGATCCAAACTCTACTCGTACCTCTTTCAGATCTGATTTCTCCCCTCTCTCACTTGCTGTCTGAAGCTAGGAAATCTGATTCAAAACCAGGTATGATCTCCATCATTTGACGGTGATACGATCTCCTGATTTGCTTGTAGAACAATTTTTAGTTTGCTTTTTATTTTTAGTTGAATTTCATCAAAATGAATGTTTACAGAAGGCAGAAGAGGGCAATTTGTAGAACAATTTCATCAAAATGATCTCCCGATTAACAGATTAGTTAATAACTACTGTTAGATACCCTTTAGGGTTGTGGAGTAGTGCAGTAAATTCTAGAATGATGGAATGAATCTTTATCTTGAAATTCCTATTTAAATTTGTTTCCACCATCCAAAACCCAGTTCCTATTTAAGCTTAAAGCTTGGTGAAACTTGTTTCCACCGTATCAGACCAGCTTATAGAACTTGTTTAGACTTTCCAAATGATTTCAACATCAGCTCAGACCAGTCTAAATTGATGTCTGGAACCTTTTAATTTATTTGCATCATAATATTGGACCCAGTGTATGTCATTTTGAACGATTCATAAAATGTTTTTCTATTCTACTTGAGTATGTAAAATTTTCTTGGATTTAAACAACTTCTGGACTGGTATCCATAATAAAAGTTTCCAATAGCCTATTCTGACATGGAGTCCATGAAGTTGGAGCAAAGAACAGAAACTTTTACCTGTTATCTCATGGGATTCAAATAGTTTGTTCATCTTTGATACCTCATAAGATTTGAATATTATTAAAATTTTGGTGGTTTGAAACTTTAGGAGTTCTTGGTTTCCCTTAAAGGCTTAAAACCGTTTCTATTTATCTATTTACCTGTTTCTTTTGGTTAATAGTTTATTCCATGTCTTAATTGTTGAGTCCTTAATGAAACTAATAATCTGTCTAAGAGATTGTAACCATATCTAGGCTTAATACTCATCACCCTTTAAAGCTGGTAAACCTATGGATGTGATAAATTAGAGGCTTCCTGTGCTGACGAACAACCTTCTGAAATGAGATATTGTAAGTATGTCTTCTAGCTAGAAGATAAGAAGAAACCTGAAGGAAAAGAAAGGAAATGAATGTTCTTGAATTGTGGGGTGTGGGTGTTTTCCTTTCAAATCTGTAATTTCTCATGTGATTTCCTCATGAATCTGCTACTATGAGTTACTTTTTTCAAACCTTAAATCTCCGTTTTGCTTTGTAGTATGGTTTGAATCTTGCTTTGTTTGCAGTTGAGGAGTACTACTGTTAATTACCTTTGTAGCCTGTATCTTGCTTTGTCTGCATATGATATATTCTACTATTTAATTGACAATCAAATCTGAAATTTCTCATGTGATTCTATCGTGAATTTGTTACTATGAATTAAATATTTCAGACCTGAAATCCACCATTTTCCTTTGTAGCATGGCCTGAACCTTGTTTTGTTTGCACATGATATATGCTACTATTTATATTTCTCCTATGATATATGCAACGTATCCTTCTAAAAAGTCTGTTGCATTGTAAAACTATGGTAGTGCAAATGATTTGGGTGCAAATTCTGAGTTATTTTTGTTTAGTTCAAAATTTCCCTTATTTTGTTTGATTGCAGTATGGATGAAGTAAAATAAGGCATAAAGCAATCTGTTATCAGTCATCACCCATCCATTCTGCAGACATTAGCTGCAACGTGAGGAAACCAAACCAAACCATTCAACATTCTTATGATTGTGTTCTAGATTCAACACTGATCATCAGTACTTCACTGTCAGCAATTATGAATTAGTTTTGGGTATATGGTTCCGATTGAATAACCATTTTATTTAATTTTATTTTTTTCTAAAATGTGTTGTGTTTTTATTTAGGGTTTTTTATTTATTCTTCCACCTCTGAAATTTTTATGAGTTTGTACGGTTGGCAACATTGACAGGTGGGGGAATCTATCACAATTCAAGGGGGGGTGGTATTATAGTATAGGTGGGGGTTTATTACAATACATTAAAAAAACCAATAAAATTTTCTAACGGGGAGCAGACCATAAATATCCCTTTTATTTAGTAACATGTATTGGATTGTTTGTGTTAAACTATTTGTCAGAAAGGAAGTTTCATATTAAACTAGTTGCATGTATTGAAATAGTTACTTATTATGTGATGAATTATATGGGGCCCGCATTGGTTTTTTGTACAGGTGAATGTGGGAGTGGGGCCCATAGGTTATAACCACATATGTCAATGTGTAAATGGGGACTACATTGATATCTTGTATAGGAAAATGCATGAGTGAGACAATTATCAAAAAAAAAATGCATGAGTGAGACCCACTTTAATATTTTGCATAGGTAAATGTGTAAGTGGTGCTCACAAGTACTATTTGCATGTTTTAATGTGTTATTGGGTTCCACACATGACATTTCACATGTATGTAAGAAATGTGTAAGAGTGGGGCCCATAGATGATAACCACATAAGTCAATGTGTAAATGGGGACTACATTGATATCTTGTATAGGAAAATGCATGAGTGAGACCCACTTTAATATTTTGCATAGGTAAATGTGTAAGTGGTGCCCGCAAGTATTATTTGCATGTTTGAATGTGTTACTGGGTCCCATACATGACATTTTAGATGTATGTAAGAGATACCCATAAGTACGCTTGTCAAACGGTCTTCTAGTCTTTTTAGATTTTGAGAAGATCTTTAAAAAATTGCAACCAAACGGTCTTTGGTCTTTGAAGTTCTATCTGTGAAAGCTCATCAGTCTTTTTCGGTCTTGAACTTTTGGAAGATCTTCCAAAAAATACTTTCCAAATGCCTCCTTAGTTTCTAGATTGAAGCATTCTTATCAATTGTGTTTCTGTAAAAAAGTTCTAATTTGTTTCTCTCATTTGTGATTCCATGTAATTGTCTTAGTTCCAGTTAAAAAGAATTTTTTTTTTTTTTCCGCATTTGGTTATTGGATGTGAATTATTCTTAGAATGGCAAAAACTCTAGATTCTTAAGATGTCCTGTTACAGGGAACAGATTTGACTGGATAATTTCTGCTACTTTATTCTTGTTTTTAATGTAGGAGCAACCTTGATTAGATGCTGATGCACAACTCTATCTGTAATAGTGTGCAGGGAGTAGATAACCGAGCAGTTGAGTAATCTCAGAAAATAGACAGTGAACGAAGATGAACACGGATATCACAGCATCGGTTAAGCCTGAGTACCCGGTCATCGACAGAAACCCTCCTTTCACCAAGACGGTTGCCAATTTCAACACACTCGATTACTTTCGCTTCATTACCATTACTGGCATTTCTGTCACTGTTGGATACCTCTCTGGTTGCACTCTGTTATCCTTCTTACAATTCCCCTTTTCTTTTTGTATGTATGTTCTGAAGTTTATTATTCCTCTAGTGGTTTTATAGATTGATAAAACATTCTTCACTGTGGTTCTTTTTGCAGGAATAAAACCCAACATTAGAGGTCCATCGATGGTGACTGGAGGTCTGATAGGGCTAATGGGTGGATTCATGTATGCGTACCAGAACTCTGCAGGGAGGCTCATGGGTTTCTTTCCTAATGATGAAGAGGTAGCTCGGTACAAGAAATGAAAAGAGATCCCTGTTTAAATGAACGAAAGGAGTTCAACTGGGGTCTTTATTTTCTTTCAAGACATTGGTAATCTTAATAATCATATTGTTCTTCTTGTTTGTTGAACACGTTAAAATTGCTATTACATTATTGGGTTTGACCTTTGAGTTTATTTGTTACTTGAGTCTCGAATGAAAACTTGCATTGACTACTCCCATTTCTGGGAGCTTACAGTGATACCTGTATGATATTTAGGTTACACAATTTTTTTTTTTTCTTCTTGGGGGCCATTACATGGTGTAATGGTAAAACCTCAAGCTGGCAAGCATGAGAACATGGGCAAGTCTAAAGCAGTCACTTTGTGCAAAAAAAAGGCTAAAAGTTAGGACCACATCCAGTTTTCCCCTCACAGGACCCCAGATAGGTGGGATCAACATTGGGCAATGACCTTTTTTTTTTCTTTTCCATGCATGGTAGTAATTCTATAAATTCTTCCTGAATATCTGAAATTGACTGGTCCCGGCAAAATATGGTGGGGTGACAGAGACAGACAAGTGAGAATACGTGTTATTTTATTTTATTTTTACATTTTGGGGGGAGGGAAATAATGCACAGATTTAGTTGTAGATGGGCCTGACAAGAACTGCTTTATTGTTGTAGTTTTCATTGTTAACTACCTTTGTATCACATCAAATCACTTGCATACTTACTGGTTCAGCTGAGTTGCAATTCCGTTTACAGTTTTTTATGTCCTCCTAGAATGTATCTAGCAAACTTCCATTTGGTTAGATTTCCAACTAAGTGCAGTTACATTTTCCAGCTTTCTCAGCTCCATGCTGGTTATACATCTCTTGTGTAGGTTTCCTGTACTAGCTCCAGCTAGTGGACAGGGGTTTCACTTTATGTCGATAAACAACTTTCCTACCAAAAGAAAAAAAAATTGGTTAGGATTGTTATCTTTGTATTTAGGTTAGGAAGGAAATGGTTGTAATATGGTAATAGATAAGATGGAATCCTTGCGTTGTAAGATATCTAAGACTATAGTGGTACTAAATCTATGGAGCAGTGAAGACTTTGAACATTTTGAGCAAGAGTTATCTCTTTTGAGTTCAGAGCCAGAAGTTCTTTTTCTCCCTCACTGGTCTTTTGGTTAGCATTAAAAGATTGTATTTACTTAATTACTTCTAACCTCAGATTCAGATTATGGTCTTTCCTACAGGTGAGGACCAACACATAATATCCCCCATTCCTTTCCTTCTATTGGATTCTGATCATTGGATGAAATATCCACTCTTTTTCCAATTCTTTGCCATTACCATCTCACTTCTATACAGCTTTTCATCAACCATAAGTTTTGCTTTATTCCCTCTAACTGACCTGCTACACTTCCATCACCATTCACAATCATTTCCCTGTCATTCCCTTGCCTTTATCTTAGCTTCTATCACTGCAATTGCAGGGGTGCAGGACCATTATGACATCTGTGATCCATTCCATACTACTGGCATTGTTCAAGTCCGATGTTTTAAAATGTGGAGTTGTGATGAGAGGCATTCTACCATCCTACAGTGTGAGGCTTAAACCAGACTGAAAGAGGTGTAAGACTTCTGAGCATAGATTTTTGACATTTATCAATAAATAAATAAATAGAAAAATATAGTAACTATCACATACAAATAGAAGAATATGAAAAATTAGAAAATTTCATATATGCAATTTCTAATATAACCATAACATTTAAATATGGAATTCAAGTATCACCGCATTAAGTATTATCAGCAACCAATACATCATTTGCAAATCAAAGTTTCAGAAATAACTGATGCGGTGCGATCCGGGCACTCCTAGCTGGCTGCTGACTGGCTCCTTGTTGGCAACGGACGACACCTGAGAAGATGGAAAAGAAGGATTCCCGGGGATTTACCCGGTGGGAATACTCCGATGCTCATGTCAGAACGTTTGGGAAGGAGAAAAGAAGAGTGCGAAAGCTAAGAGTGTAGGTCGCGCTTTATCACTATGCTCGAGAGATTAGCTCGCGAGCAAATATACTCAAGTTGAGAGTATGAGAGTGCGGAAGTATTCGAAAGTCTCCAGATCCCCCTTTCTTCTCTGTTTCAAGGGCTTTTATAGGGGCGCTCTTGTCAAATCAGGCATAACCGCCACTGGGCCCCTGCCACAGCCGTTACCTGCCGGGGCTGCGTAGGTGGCCGTTGCAACATACTCCTTGTTCGGATAGGTGACACGTCTTCAAAGGGCAGGCACGCCTTCACTTGCTGAGAGACGTGGGTGCAGACTGTCGAAAGGACAGGGACTGTGCCGTTAGTCAAGGGATGTGGCACAATCTTATTGGTACGGTCTGTCAGATAGAAGCTTCCTGAGAAACGTTCGTGTTGCTCACTTGCGAGCTACTTTGTAGTGAGCTTAGGAATACTTCGGGGTTACCCTTAGAATTGGTCTCTGGGACGACTTATCTGCTTAGGGGCTTGAGCGAGCTGGTTTCCCTAGTTCGCGAGCCAAAGTAGCCTCGGAATATCCCCTTTGGGGTAGCTCGGGGAACTCGGAGCTCGCGTTGTTGCGAGCTCCTTCTTCAGCGAGCTGCTTTATAGGCTCGTTACTTAGTCGTTACTAGGCTATAATGCTGAGCTGTTGCTCATGCTGAATCAGGTCCACGTGCCATCGTTTCATAGGTTGGGCCAAATCGTCCTCCATCAATAACAATTCACATTAATTGCGTAACATTAGCAGTGAGTGTATCATCACACATTCAAATGAATGTAATGCATTAAACACTGTGGTGTGCCCAGCTCTATTTATAACATTTTATTTAAATATTACTAAAACAAGTTTAGAGAGCTTTCATTCTCAGTATTATGTTAATAAAATGGTTCTCCAATTTCTTTTAGTTATAACAGCATATGAGGCATGAATGCCTCCAGTGCCCATTAAAACACTCAAAGCTTTGTGCATGTGAATGGACTTGTATGCTTGTTTTTTTTTTTGGTTTTTGTTTTTTCTTGATAGGTGCTTGGTTCCTTCAATTCTGTACGCTACCATTATCTTAATTGTTGCCTTTGTTTGTTATCAGCACTTTTCCAACTCCCAAGTTCTACCTTTGAGTAATGTGGAGGGATTGTGGGTATGTGTGCAAGATTGTCCTGGTTTTAGGTGTCATTGTTCAAGTCTTTGTGCATATGAATAGGATTTGATGATTGGTTCCATGATTCTCTCCACTACCACTATCTTTATTTCCATTGTTAGTTATCGCCTATGGTATCAGATGCAAAATGTACACAGAAATTGAAGTATTAAACACTAAAACCATCAATACCACTTGAATTAAAATGAGAATTCTATAATATAGTTATAACACTAGCTAAGTTGTATGGAGTAGTAATGGGCAGTAAAGAAACATGTCTAGAAATTGAGTATGGGAGAAATGCGAATGGTAAGATGGATGAGTGGAAAATCTAGAAGGGATAGGATCAGGAATGAAGTCATCCATAGGAACTTAGGAGTAGCTCCAATAAGTGATACAATGAGAAAGAATAGACTTATGGTTTGGTCACGTGCATAGAAGACCACCGACAGCTCCAATTAGAAGAAGTGATTTGTTACAAGTGGAAGGGGCTAGAAGAGCTAGGGATAGACCAGAAAAGACATGGGAATGATTTAAGCACTAATAATTTAACAGTGGTTATGACTTTAAATAGAATGGATTGGCAAAGCAGGATTCATGTAGCCCAATCCATATAGTTGGGATGATGATGATGATGACACCATAACCACCATCCCAGCTTCAATGGTCTACCTTTTAGCAGTGTTGGGGATTGTAGGTATATGCAAATGAATCTGGGATTCAATTGTTCGTATTTGAGCTTGAAGTTGAAGGGGATTGAAATGTTCTAATTGGGTGGTTAAAAGGTGAAAACTAAGTTTCTATATATAGCATGGGGGGTGTAAGATCCTTGGCTTCCGGATGGAATGCCTTGTTGAATTGGATCCTTAGAAGTACTGATTCTTCTGCCGATGGTCTTGCAATGGGCTACTAGGACTGATACATATCGGGAGTCTGATTTTGAAGGCAGATAATTGCACTAGCTGTTGCTTCTTGCCTGTTCTGTGGACTTGCAATCTGAATTCAATTAAGCATGTCAATTCCTTCTTGATCCATTACTAATTAATAAGTGGTGGTCATCATCAGATGGCGTCCATCTTTCTTTGATCAATATAAATGGTGTTCATCTTAGAAAAATGTAGTAATTAATATTGTTCTGCAGCACGCTAACTTTATTAAATAGTACAATGCACCCCCTATTTCCAAATCAAATTGCTTTGATGGGGCAACAAAGGAGAAGGAAAGGCACGCTAGCAGCTGCAAGTGGTTCCTTTGTTTAGGTTTATATGGAGGTTTTCAAGCCATACCATGAGAGTGCTTGAATTGCAGCCTTTTATTTTGATGCTGATTCAAAGAACTTGATTATGTAGTTCGGAATGAGTATTCTTGTTTATAGATTTGGCATAGTTGTGACCTACCTAGTTCATCAAAATGGATGTACTTATTTTGACCAATGTTGACAAATATCAAGTCTTATTTTTTAAATGAATATATACTTCTTTGTTGGGTCAGCATGGATAATTTACCTTCAATCCAGTGGGTATCTCCTTGATCAAGCCTTGGATACTTTTGAGCTGAAAAGTTTCATTGAATTTCTTATAGAACAGATAATCATTTAAGTTAGGACGCCCGTAAGGCAACAATGGCCATGGCCTTGAATCTTTAAAGAACACCTGGAAGACACCAATGGCTGTCTGCAGACAGCCTGGAGGTTCCATGGATACATGCAGCTGTAGCCGGCAAGAGAAAGTACTGTTTAGAAAACCAGACCAGACCAATGGGATGTGCCAGCTGAACCATGACCCGTGCACCTGGTTGGTTTGGGCATACCCCTAAAGCCGGAAGTCACAAAAAATCACCCAAAACCATCATCCTGGCCGGTTGAACCATAAAACCAGTGAACTGGTCCTGGTTTTAGAAATATTGGCCTTTTTTGTTTTTTTGTTTTTTTTAAATATAATGCAAACATCCGGAGGTTATGACCAAGGTTCAAAATATCAATACTCTCGATACGCCGGTAGGGGCGTATCGGGCGATATCGATAGTATGTTTTTAGCCT